TTGCAAACGGGTCGGGTTCGGGTTGACCCATTTAAATCCGTGTCGGGTCGGGTTCGACCCGAACCCGACGGGTTGACCCGAATTGACACCCCTAATGCTTACCTATTCAGGTCTTTCGCCTTTACTGGTGCGGGCTTATCCCCCAACATATGACTTATATTCTCTTTCATTTCAAGAACATTATCATAATCATATCCAACGAATATATAAATTGGAATTAGTACATGTGTAATTCACATATGAAGCAATTGAACTATTTGAAAAAAAAACATGCTATCATGAGAAAGGGGATGTTAAACATGATAAAAACATCAAATTGAAATTTTATAAAGTTGTTACTATTTCTTATGCATCGTTGGGTATCTCACCTCGTCTTCTAGGGAAGTCGGGTAAATTCGTTCTCCTAAAGCCGGTTTTCCTTTCCTCTTGTACACCACCTCTACTAAACTTCTCCTCATTCAACTCAAATTCTTTTCTTTCTTCAAACACTATAATATTTTTTTTTCAGCTTTACTGTTTCCTGCAATAGCCCACTCCTGAAATTCAGCATCCAACCCTTGTTTTTCCTTTACTATTTTCTGACTTCTTCAGCAACTAGCAACAGCATTCCCTAATCCCTTATTACCTATATTCAGCAAACATTAAGTTTAACAAACATTGCATCAGCCCTACACAACTACAGTCTTTGTTTCCTTGATGTATTTCCTTACTAAATTCATTGTTGAATTCAGCAGCATCAAGGCCATCAAATATCATCAAATACTGAATTCAATAAACCCTACAACCTCAGATTCAATACTTACCTGATTTCAGCCATTCCAAATTCTGAATATTTCAGCTACACGCAACCACTTTTTCTATTCAATAATCCTCACGGCATCAGCTCACACCACTACAGTCTTTGAACTCCACAGAGAAAGGTGGGTGGGGAGGACATGAGACGAAGGGAAACTCTTTTTTTTTTCTAACTAATATATGAACTCATATATGCATATAATATATACTATTGATTTTCCCACTAACCTATTCCCTTAATGCCAGCCGTCGGATAACAGATCAGCCATTGCATGTAGGTTTAAGTGGCAAACCAAAATTCTGCTGCATTTAATGAAATGTCAGATAGGCTTAAAAACTAGCCCATGAATATAGAAGCAAAATTATACTGTAGAAAAAATTCTGGATCAAAATAAAAATTTACAATTTCACGAACATGAGATTAAAATATCTATATACATATAAATATTTTTATATGAGTGATAAAATAGGGACTGATTTTGGGAAATGATCATCTTACCTTTATTTTTTTGACTTTTTTTTTTGGGTATTACAGATACGAACTCCGGTAAGGCCGTTTGAATGTTTGAAAAGAAGTGGACAACAACCACAAGCCTTCATGATGTTGTTAGACAGCAATCTAGAACTCATAGGTGGCGGGATAGCAATAAGAGATTATGGAAATTACTGGACAGCAGTTCTGAGCATTAAAAACAATTCTGGACAGCCACCTATAGGGCTTAGGAAAACCTTGGACAGCTGTTGTGAGACGTTTGGAGCTTCTGGACAGCAATTAGTGATGTTCCAGGATGCAAGGCAACAAGTTGTTTGCTGAAAACTATTGACTGAGAGCAGGAATTTCCTAGGTTGGAGAGGGAGGCGTGAGGGGGGGAAGGCTGGCAGGGGCCGCTAGGGTTGGGAAGGAAGATGGAGATCTGATTTAGAGGTGGAAAAACGTAAATAGGAAAACCTGAAATTAATTTCAAGTTTTCAAAGAGAGAAAGGGAATTAATTTCGAACTCAACTAATTCCAAATTGGAATCAATATGGACCAGCAGTTAAGTGGCTAAGAGGGAATTTTAATTGGTATTAAAGGGTTAATTGGAGAGAGATATGGAGGGAGAGGGAGGAAGAAGAAACAACGAACCCGGACGCTTCCAAGATTGGTGGGTATTGCGTTTGCCCTTCACCAAGGGACTTTCTCTAAGTTTGATCCAAGAACCCTCAAACTCTCATAAGAGTAAAACGTAGAAATTTTATTCATCATCATCATTTCAAAATACAAGAGAACTAGCCTATAAATAGGCCTCATGAAAAGAAAGAAACAATGACTAAAATGTCCTTCAGGCTACAACACCACATGACCCCCCTAGGGGTAAAATGGGAAAACATAAATATAAAATAAACCAGTACATAAAACACATCAGAAAAATAAACTCTAGATCGTAGCCGCTAATCTCCGATGTCCTCATCACAGGAACTATCAAATCTTAATAAGTCACCAAGGAGTTTGCTCTTACTCGTTCATTTAATGCTAAGCTATTTAACGCAGTCAAGGGATTCATAGTCCCTAATTCACCAAGGCTGCTGAAAGAAAAGTCCAACAACTTTCCCTAACTACTCGTCAGCCAATAAGTGGTTTTTCCCAGAAGAACTTGTCATGAGTACTCACTGCCAATCCAGAACTCTCCCAAAGTTCCAGATTAACAGTCAATTGCAAGCCAGACTCACGCACTACACAAATAATTACACTGAGTCCGAACCGTCTACTTTCTACATAATACTACTATGTAGCCAATCCTATATTGTACATGGTCATCATCTATAAATAGATAGATACTAGTTGAGTGTGTAAAACCCGAAAATGCCGTCTAAGTCTTCGCACGCTTTTCAAAGCACCGCGACGAGTTTTAAGTGAAAATTTTGAGGTTGTCAGATTTCGACAGAAATAATTTTAGAAAATAGAGCATAAAATTCTAATCGTTTTGATGTATAGAACCCATGTCGGATTATGAGTATTTTGAGAATTATGAATTTTGGAAGTTTCTAAATGCCAATTCTACCCCTAAGTGTTTCTTAAGCAAAAATCTATTTAAATAAGGGCATTTGAGTCTTTTGGCATATCCCCTTTCTCCCTAAATGAACTAACCGAGCCCTCCCCATTCATTTCATGCGGCCCGAACCGAACGCGAGAGGGAGAAGGCGGACGGGTAGGCGGACGGGAGAGGAGAACGGGTGGCTTCGGCGGCGGATTCCGGCGGCCAACCTTGGGGGAAATCGTAGGGGAGACTAAGGGAAGACTAAGGTATGTGTTTAGCTTGAGTTTTCTCCTTCTTGCCTTGAGTTTTCTCTAAGGAATGAAAATTAGGGTTTAGAGAAAACTTGGATTTTCTTTGAGAAAAGTTTAGAGAATGATTAAAGGATGTTTCTAAACCTTAATGCGAGTTGATTTCTTACAAATATGAATTTTTGGAAGTTAGGGTTTCACTCAAAAATGGTTTTCTTTCAAAGTACATTCACAAAGAGGTTTCCTAATGATTCTTGGAAGATAATTATGGAATTTGATTTAAGTTTTATAAGAATAAATTGTGTTTTGTAAATTATGGTTTTGTAGAAATGAGAGTTTTCTTTGGGATAAGCTTAGAGAAAGGTAATGTGATGTTTTTAAAACCCTAATGTGAGTTACTTTTATGAAAATATGGATTTTTGAAATCTAGGGCATATCCGATTTTGTTTTTCTATCAAAATGCCTTTGTAGAAAAGTTTCTATTTGAGATTAGAAACTTTTTTTTGTGTAGACGGATTTCTTTTTGGGAGATATTTTGCATGCCCTAATAGTTAGGGTTTCTAAAGGCTAGAGTTAGGATGAAATTCTAATTGTAGTGAAAATAAAATGGAATTGGTATGGTTTAAGTGAGGGATTTTTATAGAAAAACCAATGTTTGAGATATTGAATAGTTACATGCTTAACCTAGGGTTTTTTTTTAGGTATGAGAGAGAAAACTTATATCTACACCTTATGTTTGCCACTTGTAGAGTTTGATTTCATAAATATATATATACATATATATATATATATATATTAAACTGTTATGAATGTTTCATACACATGTTACATGCAATTGAGGTTATCCCTTGAGGTATGATGTTTTAAAAAGGAAGAAAGGAAAGGTTATGGAAGGATTAAGCATTTGAGAGTTGAGGTAAAGGTATGCTTTTCTTTGAGCATAACTTGTTATATGATTGATGATTCTTTTGCTAAATTACTCAAAGCATGTTATAGTTTTCTCTCTTGATTCTATGTTTATTTGAATTTCCATTCTCACCTATTGAGTATAAGACTCACCCTCGTTCTGTGAATACTTTTCAGGAGGATCTAGGAAGGAGTAAATGGCCGACCAACCACCGCGCACTTACCGTCGTAGGGAGACGACGGGCGGCAGGTTCTTTTGTGTCTTGATGTTTTGGATAGAAAGATTAGAAATGGAATGTAAGAGAGAAATGTTACACTTGTGGATCCTCTTTTGTATCTTTTTGTAAACTTAATGCTAAATCCATCTATGGGTGATTCTTTTTGAATGAAAGAAAAGAAAAAGTTTATGTTTTGAGATTGCAGTGGCTCTTTCTTTATGTTGAAGCTTCATTTTGGAGTTATATTAATTGTTTTGTAAAGTTTCCTTTATCTTCTTTATGTCCGATCTCTGTTCCCGCCTCGCACTTGCGAGCTAACCGGGCCGGGTCGTGACAGAGTGCAACCATCATGCCGTTGTATGCTTTGTGCAAAACATTTTCCAATTGAAGTCTCTTTCAAAATTTTACTAAGATTCGCCTCATAATCTTTCTCTAACTTGATCACCCTTTCAATCATATTAGTAACTCAATTTGACTAACCCTTGTCTATCAAAGGAGTTTGATCGGGAGCTCTTTGGACAAGTTCAAATATAAGAATCAGAATAGACTTCTATGTAATTTCCCGCATATTATTTGCTCTTGATCCTTATCTCAAATAGGGCCTTGGTATCATTCCCCAGATAACATTGAATCCAACAACTGTTTCCATGCAAAATCATTCAAGGAAAAATTATTAATTAAACTAGTAATGTATAGTAGCATCACAGTAACAATACAATAGCAATAGAAATCTTAATTTAACGTTCAGTGAAAGCATCAGCTTGCTAAATAAATCTTAAAAAGCTTAAATCCAAAAAAAATAGATGGAATCATACCTTGTAACTGTTTTGTTGGGAGTCACATGAGTCAATAGATCCAGAATAAGAACTGCAACAAGCAAATACGGTATCACATCAGAAAGCAACGTTACTCATTCAAGTTCAAACATGCTTTGCAAATCTACAATCATATAACAAATCTATATCGTCATAACTTACCATATACCAACTGCAGGACAATTACAGATCCTGCGACGAAGAAGCCCATTGCCTTTATGGGCAGATTCCTTCAATATGTAAAATATCAGTGCAATTCCTGACTAAGAATTATATATCGAAGTTTCTATACAAGTCCTCATTACCTTTGACGTCAAACAATTATCAGGAACAGGATCTTGATCACAAAGGAAAGAAATAGAATCACATTTAGCTATCCTTTTTGTAAGCAAGGGGTTCAAGACTTCAACTTCACCTTCTGCAGTTATAGGTTGCAACCCGGAAAAATAGCATTCTGTGCTAGCAGAATTACAGGATGATAGCAGCTCATCGCCAAGATTGGCATCATAGTTTTGACAGAAAAAATTTGGCCGACCTTGAACATCAGAATTCTCATTATGCCAGTAAGTGAATACAGAACAAGACTGGGAAGGTTGAGCACTGGAAAAGTCTTTATCAAGTGCATTTCCATGATTGTGCTCAATATCCTTCGTCAACTTTGATTTGGGGACAAGTGGCTTGATTTCTTCAGCCTCGAATAAGTCCTCAGAATTATCTTTCATGAAACTGATATAGTTAGCACCTACTTGAGGTGGTTTAGCACATTGTTTAGAACTGGATTTATAAGGCTGCATCAAAGCATTAATAAATGAATTGAGTCATGAGTTCACCTTTAAATGATTGAATTATATGACTACAAAACTATTTGAAGATTGAAGATATCAAAAATTTTCTGTTTTAAATATATGCGAATAAGGCCACCTTCATGATTGAAGAATCAACAACATCAAGAATTCTCTTAGCAAAATTTTCATCGAAGAAGCTTTGATTAAGATCATAGACCTGTGATTTGCAAATAGAATATCAGAGTAAGAGAGAGAGGGAGTTTGGATTAGTATATCAAGGAAGATAATGAAAAGTAATATTAAAACACCAAAAAAAGGAGGCACTAGATAAATTCAAAAGCTCGCCTTACTAGAATCTTGACGAACTTTGTAGAATGATGATGGAAGCAAAATCATACGTTGTAACTTGGAAGTAGGCTTTAAACCTTTACCCAGTAATTTCAGAATAAGCATAGCAATATCAGAAAGAACATGTAATTTCTGCAGATAGAAGCTCATGTAAACATTATTACCAAAGAATCAAATAAGGATGTTTCATAAGAAGGAAATGCTACATACCGGAGTAATGTGAGCATCATTGGCATCATCAGCTTTCTTAATAGCACGCAGAATTGCTAACAAATTTAATAGCATATCACTTCTATTTCCATTGAAATCTTCTAAATCAACTAATGCCCGCAAAAGAATGACAAGTGGACTGCCAATGAAATAAAGGGAAAACAAAACACTAATATATAATTAAACAGAACATATCTCAGCAGGCATTTTGAATAAATGTAAAATGAAAGAGATCATCAGAATTATAATAATAATAATAATAATAATAAAGCAATCTGTATGGTTTCCAAAAGAACTAGTACAGTAGAACAAAATTATAAGCTAGAAACTGTTATTCAACTGCATTCTTTTTTTTCCATCAGTACTATGAGAATGGACTCAACTTTCATATAGATTCAGAAAACTTCTTTCCTTGCAACCACGTTTAAATATTTGATATTCATGATGTTTAGATTTTCCAATCAAGTTAAAAAATTTTGAAAACCTAATCTTTCTTCCACAATGTTATCTCAAAGTTCTTTGCAGCATTGTGATTGTTTGCTCCTCCCCTAGGAAAGAATAAAATAGTAAGACCTACTCCTAATCCACGCCACCACAACATTTCACTGTCACCATTACCTTCCAATATATTTCACCCCGATGATATACTTCCCAGGCATCTGTGTTTGTCACACCCCAATTTGACTCACCCTCTACCACAAACTGGAGTATAACAGAGAAAGATTTCAATATATCAAAGTCCACACTTAACAAAAGGAAGCATGTAATATTACTTACTGAACATCAACATAATTAAAATAATTACAGAGCTCTACTAAAACTTTTGAACTTTAATTACATATCAAAGGGTTTATATAGCTATTATTCAGATCTCCTCTAAGATCTCTTTGTACTCCAAAACATATTTACATCAAAAACTGTTGACCCCTACAGCGAAACAAAAAAAAAATCAAATCAAAACCAAATCTCACATGCCCCGCCCCATCTCGCGCGTCGTGGAGACAGTCCGCACGTCTTCGCACGTTGAGGCCACGCTTCGCGTCATTTATCCCCACGTCGTTGGCAAGACGCGCTCGCGTCGTTAAAAGTGATGAAGGGATGAGGCCTTCGGCCTCTCCCTCGTGCTCGATCTCTCTCGCTCTTCGTCTCCTTCTTGGCTACTCGACTCCGCTCCTTCGACGACATTTCCTGTTGGATCGGAAGTTACGGGTTTTGATCGGAAGCAAGAAGCGGAGTTTGCTTCTTCGGCTCCCGTCGCTGCTGTTTGACTTTGCCTCCGGCGACGACCTCCCCTTTCTGTTTGATCGGAGCCAACAAGCGAGCTCGCTCTCTCCGAAGATAACTTTCTCCCCTTCGGCGCTGCTTCTCCAGCTCCTTCGTGGCTGGTCCGACTTTGCTCCTTCCACGGCTCTCCCTTCCTGTTGAATCGGAAGTTACGACATTTTATATCGGAAGCCAGGAATAGAGCTCGCTTGTGGAGAAGGTAACTTTCTCCCTTGCACGGTCATCTTTGGCCAAATCCAGTAAAAAAATTGGATTTTTTTTAATTAATTATAAGAGAATTAATTATTGTTAATTATTAGCTAATTATAGTTATAATTAATTAATCAATTAATTATAATTAATTAATAATTAGTTATTAATTATAAATTATAATTATCTGGTTAATTATAATTAATCTTGATTATTATAATTAGTCCTTATTTAATTATAATTAATTTACTAATTATAATTAATTAGTAATTAATAATTAATTATAGATTATAATTAATTAATAATTAGCTATAATTAATATTAATTATAATTAATAATAAAAATAGAATGCTCGTGCCTTCTCCTGCCTTGATCCGTGCCCTCCACCGCCGGTCTGCCGGTCCCGAAGGTATAATCTAACCTCAGACATCCGTCCTCGGCGTGTACGACGGGCCAGTAGACCACCTAAGCACGCCTTTGTTGAGCGTGGTAGGAGGGAATCCGATCTGACGCCTACAACAAGGCGGACAGTCGCCGACCCTCGCCCTCCTTCGACATGTGTGTCGAGCCGGCGGACCACCTAAGCACGCCATTAGTGAGCGTGGTAGGAGGGAACCTAGTGCGACTCCTGCGACGAGGTAAGTAAGCGACCCTCGCCCTCCTACCTCGACATGCATGTCGAGCCGACAAACCACCTAAGAACGCCTTTATTGAGAGTGGTAGGAGGAAAGCCGGTTCGACGCACACGACGAGGCCAGGTGAGCCTGGTGTACTCTCTTCTTTGCGTGCCGGAACAATTCATAAGTACCCACGGGTACCGTCAAAGACCCCATGCACGCCTTTATTGCGCGTGGTGGGAAGAAAAATCACGGCCGCGATGTCCTCGAAAGAGGGCACCTACCATGCACGCCTTTATTGCGTGTGGTGGGAAGGTCCAGTTTTCTCGTAGTTTTCCCCTAAACGGGGGAGACGCCGGGATGCTGCCGAAATTGTACCTGCAAATACTCCAGGAGACTTTGAACAATTATTTGAACATACACTCGGACTCAAATGCAAATAAACTAAGTGTGGAGCACACTAAAATTTGAACAAGACTCGGACTGTAGGGGACTTGAATAAAAGCTTGAACCTTCAAGAACACAAAGGGACTCAGTCTTGCATCTGGTCTGGACAAAGACTCTAAGCTCGTATTCGAACTCGGGCCATACGACATTAAGCGAGGATTTGTAAACTTGATGAATTTGAGTTTGAATGAAATTGAACTTGGACTCAATACATGCAAAGGTCGAAACTTGGATCACACACGAAGAAACTCAAATTACAAGACCTCGATGCGCGAACTCATACGACAATCCCTACAAATGCTGAATGATTGAGATGGAAATACGGGAGACCAATGGTGGAGAATCCGTCCCCAGCAAGCAAGTGCAATCATCAAACCACCTGAGATTGGTGAAAGGTGGATGTAATGCAAGAAACGAGGGTCTCCTACGAACATTCCTAGGAGCTCGTAGAAAACGCAACGGATCCTTACAAACAAATACGAGCCGCTTGTGGATAACAACAGTGGGCATATCGTAAGCACCATCGAACCACTGTGGGCACAAGTACAAGTATCTCCTACGACGATTCCTACGAGGTCAAACAAGTAAAATCAAACCACCCGAGATTGGTGAAATGGTGGATATGATGCAGAAGCAATGGGTCTTCTACAAACATTTTTAGAAGGTCGTAGTGGATACAGCGGTCCCCTGCAAATGGATACTTGTGGATAACAACAGTGTATTGAAAGAACAACGAATCACTGTGGACACAGGTACAGATATCACCTACAACAGCGGTGACCAAAATCTCCAAGTATGTCGGGTACAAGAGAAATTCGATGTACGGAGAAGGACACCTCCTGGCAGAATGGGATGAAAGTTCAAACAAATTAAAACTAAACTTCCTGGTGTTCCAAAGTTTCTTCCTTGTCCCATCCTTAGGAAGAAAATAGTTCTGATATCTACAAATACCGAAAATAACGGTCCGTTACACCAAAGATCCTGAAAGGAGTTCTTTCCAAATCAGCAATCATTGACTGCAAATTTCAAGAAAATCCCACCCCCGGTGAATGAGAAAAGGGGGAGTCAATATCAAAATGAGGAGATGCCTCCTAACATCAAGATCACAACGCTACCAGATCTACAATACTTATACAAGCAGATAGAATGCGTTACAAATACTTTCAAAATACCCCTACACATGCACCGTAACTTGTATACACATAGGTACACAAAGGGGTATGTCAAATTAATATATAAATCACCCGCATGGGCCCCGGCGAGCGTGTTATTGGTACATACGTGATGTCTAGGTATGCTGTGCGAGTTGTCAAATTTTAAACCCAATCCTTTTTAGTAGGTAAAAAGGAGTCGACAGAGTAAAATGCCCCCAAATACCTGCATGGGCCCCGGCGAAAGTGTTATTGGTACACACGTGACGTCTAGGGATGCTGCGCGAGTCAACAAGTGAATTCAGGTTCGAATCCGATCCTTCTATACGAGTTAACAGAAGTCGACAAGATTCAAACCGTCAAACAAATATACAGTTGTGGGGATCGATGTATTTGTTTCAATACATTCATATTAGGCCTTCAAGGCCTACAATCAAGAAAATTCACAAACAATGGCACAAAACCTATGAAACCCGATCCCCTATCGGTAAGTTGATAGAGTCGACAAAGTTCAATCAAATGGAAATGACCCCAAACACCCCGATGATGGCCTTGTTGAATATTTATCTCAATTGGAGGAGTCTATTTCAGATATTTCAAATTCCACTCAAATGCCTACGAAATTCAAAGTTCCCAAAATCCAAAAATTCAATCTCATTTCAAAATTCTAAAATATTTAAAATTTGAAATACCACCATCAATAACTTAAAGCAAAATCCATCCACTTTCCGCAACAGTTTGCCGAGGTGGACAAATTCAAATATAACTTTAGCTCACTTGGAGCCAAATGCCTAGCCGAAAATATCACTGGGATCCATTCTCAAACAGTCTCCTGCCAGTAAGGACGTGGTACTGTCCTCTGACCAACGGTCTGCCGCCAAATGGCACCGCAGGTGTAATATCAAAAAAAAAAAAAAACTATATATATATATATATTATTGTGATATTTTTATAAGTACATAAAATACTGATAAATGAATATTAGTAAGAAATATATTAAATTTAATTGGATAACTTTATTTTATTATAAATGAACGATTAGGTGCTTTCAAAGGATGGGAAGGTAGTTAACTTGTGGGCCCTCCTAATCCATTGAGAAATTCGGTTGCTAGAGTGGGCCCTCTCCAATTCTCTGTTGTTTGGATTACACGCCACAAGCAAAAGAAGATAAGGGAGAAGGAAGTTACGGTAGGAAGAGTGGAAGCAAATCAGGAAATTATATTCCTATAGAGAACCTTTTGACATTCCTGTAGAGAGGCAAGCATTTCAGTTGGGATTTTTGTAGAAGAATTGAAGGAATGTTGTAGTATAATGCAAGGAAATCACCATCTTTCTCTTCGGCATAGTGATTAGAGCCTGTAGCAATATTCGGCAACCAGTCCAGTGGCAGGATAGCGGCACGGTGAAAGAAAAATATGTAGAAATTCGCTGAAAACACTGTAGCAGAATTC